TTTGGGTTCAAACAATTCTCCTGCCTCAGCCTCTCAAGTAGTTGGGATTACAGGCACACACCACCACGCCCGGGTAATTTTTTTGTATTTTTAGTAGGGAAGGGGTTTCTCCATGTTGGTCAGGCGGGTCTCAAGTTCCCAACCTCAGGTGATTTTTCCACCTCGGCCTCCTAAAGTGCTGAGATTACAGGCATTAGCCACCATGCTCAGCCTCCTGGGTTTTCTTCCAGGATTTTTATGGTTTTGGGTTTTACATTTGAGCCTTTAATTCATCTTGAGTAAATGTTTAGAAGATATAAGTGAGACGTTCAGTTTTAATTTATTACATATGGCTAATGAGTTTCCTCAGGACTATTTATTGAATAGAGTGTGTTCTGTTCAATTCTCTATTCTGATTGAATAGAGAATCCTTTCTCTATTGTTTGTTTTTGTCAGGTTTGTTGAATTCAGATAGTTACAGATATGTGGTGTTATTTCTGAGGTCTCTTTTCTGTTTTCTTGGTCTGTATGTTTGTTTTTATACCAGTACCATGCTGTTTTGGTTACTGTAGCCTTGTAGTATAGCTGGAAGTCAGGTGGGCTGATGCTTTCATCTTTGTTCTTTTTCCTTGGGATTGTCTTGGCTATACGTGCTTATTTTTGATTCCATATAAAATTTAAAGTAGTTTCTTTTTTTAATTTTGTGAAGAATGTCAATGGTAATTTGATGGGTATAGCATCAAAGCCATAAATTACTTTGGGCCGTACGGCCACTTTCATTATGTTCATTCTTTCTTCTTCTTTTCTTTTTTTGAGATGGTATTGCTCATGCTGGAGTGTAGTGACATGATCTCAGCTCACCACAACCTCTGCCTCCTGGGTTCAGGCAATTCAAGCGGTTATCCTACCTCAGCCTGTTTAGTAGCTGGGATTATCTGCATGCACCACCATACCCGGCTAATTTTGTATTTTTAGTAGATTCAAGATTTCTCCATGTTGGTCAGGATTTCCATCTTGGTCAGGCTGGTCTCAAACTCCTGACCTTAGGTGATTCACTCACCTCAGCCTCCCAAAGTGTTGGAATTACAGGTGTGAGCCTCCACACATAGCCTGATGTTCTTTCTGTCCATAAAAATGGAACATTTTACCATTTGATTGTGTGCTCTCTTACTTGAACAGTGTTTTGTAGTTCTCCTTGAAGAGGTCCTTCCCACTGCTTGTTAGCTGTATTTCTAGGTATTTTATTCTGTTTGTAGCAGTTGTGAAGTTCATGTACTATTTGGCTCTCTGTTAATCGTTGGGTTATAGGAATGCTTGTGAATTTTTTATTTTTAGTGGAGATGGGGTTTCACCATGTTGGCCAGGATGGTCTTAATCCCTTGACATCGTGATTTGCTTGCCTCAGCTTCTGAAAGTGCTCAACTTATAGGCATGAGCCACCATGCCTAGTGAATCCGTTGTTTCCTTATGATTAAGTTCACAATAGAAGTTACTTTTGAGGGGGCAGTGATGCTGTTTCCTTCTGCGTACCTTAGCACGTCTTAGAAATGTGTCTGCATGCAGTTAATGTAATAACCCACTTAGTTAATTAGCTTTGTGACAGATTTCTTTCTCTATAGAGTTAATTGTTCTTCTCTTCATTATTAAGTATCTTTATGCAGCTGATGTGGATAAACAATCACTTTTAATCTGGTAGCTGCCCTTTCTTAGGTTTTCATTGCATTTATCTGTCTTTGGAAAATGAAAGCTCTGATCTTTGTTTGCAGCCTAGAAAAACTGAAAAACACAGTCTTGTTCACTTACTGGATGTTTGACAAAATAGTTTTCTTTTGCCAATAACATTGGCATTAGTGGTGAGCATGTTTGAGATTCAGAAACTGAGACTGTATACCAGATTCTCTGAAAAAATAATCTGCATTAATGTCTCCAGTTTATTGTACACATTCAAATTTCAGCAGTACTTTCTAACTCAGTATTATGTCTTTTCTATCTGAAAAATTTACACAGTTCATTCTGCATGATGTAAATATAGCATTCAAAAATGTACATGTTAGTGTTTATGCCCTCAGTTTTCTACCTCATTAACCAGAAAAGTACCATCTATATGTTGATGTTGTAGACCTTATGCCATTCTCTTTTCTCAGTTAGAGAATACCTTAGAGAATATTTCTGTGTTGTAAGTTATTTACTAGATATTGTCAGTCACTCTTGTAAGTAAGAAGCAGCTATCTTTATTTTTGTTTTACTTTGAGTCAAATTAAAAATTCTGCTCATTTTCCATTTTTTTTTTTTTTTTTT